CTAGTTCGGATTAGAAGCCTAATCCGAACTAGCTACTCCGTGCCGTGTGTAGCCGCGCGGCATGGGGTTCGAACTAGCCGGCATTTAAAAATGGCGCCGGCCGGTTTCATGCAAATGAAGCCCGGGAAATTCAAATCCCAGGTTTCATTTGCAACTGCGGATGACTACATTACCCCCGCTAGTTCGAACTAGCAGGGTAGTGTAGACATACCCTCAGATCTATCTCTAGCTAAACCAGACCCTCCAGGTTGAAGCTGTTACCTAATAGCAAAACGCCACGGCATTTAAAAATGGCGCCGGCCGGTTTCATGCAAATGAAGCCCGGGAAATTCAAATCCCAGGTTTCATTTGCAACTGCGGATGACTACATTACCCCCGCTAGTTCGAACTAGCAGGGTAGTGTAGACATACCCTCAGATCTATCTCTAGCTAAACCAGACCCTCCAGGTTGAAGCTGTTACCTAATAGCAAAACGCCAGACCTTCTGTTGACAGAGTTCTGTCGACAGAAGGTGTTATTGCCTGTAGGGTTGCGTCTAGACTACAGGGTTTTGTCAACAAAGCAACTTGCTTTGTCGACAAAACTGAATGTGTCTAGACGCTCTATGTCGACAGAAGTTTTGTCGACAGTATCTGTCGACAAAACTTCCGTCGACAAAACCCTGTAGTCTAGACGCAACCCTACAGGCAATAACACCTTCTGTCGACAGAACTCTCTCGACAGAAGGTGTTATGCCTCGTAAAATGAGGTTTACCAGCGTCGACAAAACTGCTGAGTTCTGTCGACGTTATGTCGACAGAACTCAGCGGTAGTGTAGACGCAGGTATAGTTTTGTCGACAAAAGTCCACTTTTGTCGCCAAAACTCAGTAGTCTAGACACACCCTATGTGTGTCCATAAAATACACCATGATGGACCAAAGATTATCCCAATGGAGAGCTTCCCCAGTTGGAATACCATGGCCAGCATGGGACAGAGACTGCCCTCTCCCCCCACTGCAGACATAGCTCTTGTTCCTGCATGGGTCAGCCACTGAGTCCATAGGGTCATTTTTACAGGTGGTGAATACATCTGGCCTGCCAGGGTTAGCTCCTATCCAGCTTCAAGGACAGCTACCCAGTATGGCTGCTTGCTGCTATATCCAACCTGCATAAGGGAACTCAGCATACTAATCATGTCTGTTTTCCAAGGGATGATCCATAGAGCCCTGCAAATCTACAGATACCTGCTTTATATCTGCAGGTATCCAGAGCTCATTTTTGCAGATATAGATGTGGATACGGATGCAAATTTTGAATCCGTGCCAGGTTTTACTGATCCAGCTGGCCATGGGAACAAGGATGGAGCTAGGGAATTCTCATATACAGCTCCAGGACAAATCACTGCCAATGCATGGAGAGGGGAATGCCTGAACAGCTAAGGACGAGGGTAAATTGTGATATTTGGGGGCAGGTGGTGGGGGGAGACAAGTCCTCTCTTTTCCCTGGCATGGATAAAGGGTCACCAGAGACAGAGGCATGATGCGGGCTGGGCCAGTGGTTTTACAGCAACATAGAATGCCTCCACTGACCTTCCCACCTGCGTCACTGCTCCGCCACTTC